GGAAACCGTTTGGGGCAGTTCTTCTCTGTCCTATGGGGTCGCTATGAGTTGGAATCAACTCAGTGGCAACCGGTTTCTGGGTTGTTTTTTCACTTTGCTGGATTGATTACTTTTTTTTTTTAAATAACATTTCTAGTAGTTTGAAAGCTCTCCATTGTAATCTACATCTATTAGTAGTTATGTTTTATTTACGAACTTCTAAAAACAGTTTTATTGAGGTATAATTGATGTATTTAATGCATACAATTTTTGTTTTGCACATAAAGTATACAGTTTGTTAAGTTTTGACTTTCTACACCACCACGATCAAGATAATGAACTTACCCATTACCCCTAAAAGTTTTCTTATACTTCTTTGTAATCCTGCCCCAAGCAATTTTTGTCCCCAAACCATTCCAGGAAACTACTGATTTTCTTTCTGTAACTATACATTCGTTTTCATTTTTTAGAATTTTACATGAATGGGAACATACAGTATATACTCTTTTTTGGGGGGGAAGGTATGGCTTCTTTCACTCAGAATAATTATTTTGGGATACATTCACACATCAATAGTACATTCTTTTTATTGATAAATAGTACTTTATTGTATGGGTGTACCACAGTTTGTTTATCCATTCGCCTGTTAGTGGATATTTGGGTTGTTTCCAGTTTGGGGGCTATTACAAATAAAGCTGCTATAAACATTTTCTTGTGCAATTCATTTTGTGGACATATGCTTTCATTTTTCTGGGTAAATGCCTAGGAGTGGGTTGACTGAATTATATGGTAGGTGGATGTTTACCTTTTCCAGAAGTTGCCCTTGTTTTCAAAGAGGTTATTATTCCATTTAACATTCCCATCAGCAGTGGATGAGAGTTCCAGTTCCTCCATATCATTACCAGAGCTTGGTATGGTCAGTCTTTTCAATTTTAAACATTCTAATAGTTATGTATTACTATCTTATTGTGGTTTTAATATGTATTTCCCTAAAGACTAATGATGTCAACCACCTTTTCATATACTTATTTGCCATCCATATATATTCATCTTTGGTCATGTCCAAATATTCTGCCCACTTTTTAAATTGACTTTAGAGAATTCTTCATATATACTGACTGGATACAAGTCCTTTTCATTCACTTTATAAAGTCTTTTGAAGAGAAGAAGTTTTTAATCTTGATGAAGAAAAATTTATCAGTTTTTTTCTTCTATGGACTATGCTTTTGATATTGTATCTAAAATATTTTTTCCTAATCCAAGATCACAATGGTTTTACCTTCTGCGTTCTTCTCAAAGTTTTCTAGTTTTAGGTTTTATGCTTAAGTCTATGATACATGAGAGTTAATTTTTACATATGGTGTGAGGTATGATTGAAGGTTTTTTTTTATGCATATGGATATCTTATTGTTCTATCACCACTAAATTGCCTTTTAATCTTTGTTGAAAATCATTTATTCCTATATGTATGACTCTATTTCTGGACTCTCTATTCTGTTCCATTATCTGTTTGCCATTTTTGTGCCAATACTGCACTGTCTATTTAACTGTTGCTTTATAATAAGTCTTGAAATCAGGTAGTGTTGACTCAACTTTGTTCTTTTTCAAAGTTGTTTTGGCTATACGAGGTATTTTGTATTTCAATATGAATTTTAGTATTAGTTTATTAATTTCTATAAGGCAGCCTACTTGGATTTTGATTGAATTGCATTGAACTATGTATCAGTTTGGGGAGAAATGACATTTTAGGAATATTGAGTCTGCCAATCCATGAATACAGTACATCTCCATTTATTTAGGCCTTCTTTAAGGGCTCTCATCAAGGCTTTGTTCTTTTTTCTGTGTAAAGCTCTCACCCATCTTTTTTTTTTTTTTTT